GGGGAAATGCTTAGAACTTACTGCTCCCGCACAACTTTGCTTGAAACTTCCGCGTGCCTTCATAAAATTGGTGATGAGGTGAATGAAGAAAAGGGGTCTTATTAAGGTCTGACATCAAGTCGTCTTACTACGCTTTTAGAACGGCATACCTTCCACGTTTTTTTCTTCCTAAATATTAGGCATTGAATAAAAAACTGAACTTTTGAGTGTAACTCCGAGTTCCCCATTTGTTTTTTCCTGAAATTCAACTCTCACAGCTCGCACATACACGCACATTTTGGCTCGAATCCTTCTTTTGCCAATCAATCCCTTCCTGTGGGCTCGGCAAATCGGCCACAGAATTATTTGTGGATGCAAATGTTAATGAAAATGTTTTTATGGCCCTGTCCTGAAATTCTTCCCATTGGGCGTCTACGTATGCAATGATTATAGGCTAAAAATAAATAAACAAATAGGTAAACAGTGGCGAGTGATTGTGATCTGAGTGGATGTAAAGTGCACGGCGCAACTTCCCAATGGGCGTGTCAATGTCGCATGCCTCATCATTTATCATTTTTATCAATCATGATGGAGATGGATGGGTTTTCATAGCATGTGACTTTGAGTAATCGATTCGGTGTTTTGTTGCTTCGAGAAAGATGATAAGGAGTCCACTGATTCTTGATACTGATACCTCCTTTTTTCGATAACGAATTGTTGAATTTATTTTTTTGATATTTTATATGTGGTAAAATGTGCTTGGTTTAGAGCTGTTGCAATAGTTGGCACTATCACAAGATACGGGGGCATCCTCTAGGACTGAGCTTAGGAGGGAGCAGGAACTCCGGGGAAATGAAAATGGCTTACGCACCTGGAGTCTCTCCTCCCCGCCTGAGGCCTCTCCGTTTTCTGCAAAAAGGAAATGCTTGATGCGTTTCAAATTCATTGCCACCACACTGCCCCGTATCTTGCGATAGGCTCAGTATTTTTCATCTACAAAACTAGTTAAGGGGCTCACAAACGTCACCGAGAGTGAGGATTTACTCAGCTGTAATCGTTCTTTTGGATTGCGCCATATTTGCAGCCCGCTAGCGACATACTCGTTTGGCTATGAAGACAAATCGCTTTTCTCGGAATAACCATTACAAAATCGCCACCTTTTGCCGTTCAACTGAAGCCTTTATACTCCTATCCAATAGTGAAATGACAATATCACCTTTTTCTTCCAATCGTTATTAATGATGAAGATTGTTTTCAGGAAAATGAATCAATAAAGGCTGTACGAACGCTAAAGAAGAAATAAAATAAATGGGGTGGCTTTGAATTTTTTCCCAAATTATTTAGATGCTAAAATAGTTTTACTTTGGTAGCGGAATTACGGTTCAGCTTCAAAAATTTAGGTGGCTTTTATCAACAAAACTGTTTTCTGCTGTAACCGATCCTAGAATTGATGCAGGTGTTTTTTTCTGTCGTTTTACAATGGTTCATCGTGAAGTTTGTTGGAAATTGCCTTGTTCAGTTCTTTCAGTCGCACTTGCCTTCTTTTTCCAACTTCCGTCCCTCGGCCCCTGGCCGATCAGAAAAAAGTGTTGGTCAGCAGCTTCGTACAAAATCTCACTTCTTCCATAAATCATAGAGTATTTTCGGAAAATAGGCCATGTTCCTCAACTTGGATCAGATTGACCGATCTTTTGAGCATTAGATTTGAAAGGTCTACTAGGACTGTATCTCTCGGCGAATAGCAATTACGTATATTCTTTTTTGTTGAATTTGTACCACTTCATTGCTTCTGCTTTACACCCATTCAAATATCTCCTCAATATCGAAGAGGTTTCGGCGCATGGCGCATTCGAAAAGAATGATTAGGGACGAGCTTTCGAAATGAAGTGATCAATTAAACGTCACCAATAGTTCAAAAACTTGCATATATCTACCCTTTGTTTATTGCCAAAAAAAAAACACGCCCAGATGTAAATAACTTGCGATTTGCCACCCAAAGATGGGCTGTCATTCCCATCAAAGCTCTTTTCTAAACGTATGTATGTAACAAATCGGTCATTCTTTGTGGCCTTCTCCAAGAAATTACGCAATCACCTTTTCATTGAAAAAATATTCATCGATTCATCATATATGTACTTGTGATAGGGCAGTCGGATTAGGTGCTCAGCATCCCTTGGAAGACATTCACTTCGTAGCCTTCTCCGTTGTTGTAGATTCGTTCGAAAAAGTTCACCAAAAGTGCGTGAAATCGAAAATATTGGTATTTATCATGGCATCCATTCGCATGTCCGTCAGCTGCCTGCCCACTAGTTCTTAATCCATTTTCAATCATTTTAATAGGTAATTTCGCCTGGAACCTCAGCGTTCACATTGAACATTTTGAAAGGATTTTTTGGCTAAAGAAATAGATAACTGTATGCGGAGCGCCGTTTGAAGCACTGGGTTGCACTTCGGTGGCTCAGGGCTTGGCCAGTCAAAGCTGAGCTATTCTTTTACGGAGAGCAGGGTCACCGTTTTGGGGGCAAAACTTCAGCGCTAGGTGACTAGACTACTTGAAGCTGTATGCCTGAGTCACGAACTTCGCGACTCTCCCGCGGTTGCAGTGCTTTTGGTGAGGCACTGCCTAATCTCTCCTTTCGAGCCATACCCCGAGGTAAGCAAACGAACCAAACCAGCCCTTTTGGCGTTTCTGCTGGGACCGTATGCTGAATGTTGGGGAGGGGATGGGGTCCCCGAGGTCGACGGACTACTTCAACTCGGTCGGTACGGTAGGAGAGTATGACGAAGTGGTGCAGCTAGGTCCAGCAGCTCCGCCAAAAGGGCTGGTTTGCTTACCCCAGGACTAAGCCTTGGAGAGGGGACGGACCCGTCCTCCTTTAAGGCTTAGTTCTGAGGTAAGCACCAAATTGTGGCGGTTCTAAGGACCGAGTTGAAGTGGTCCGTCCACCGTCGGGGACTCCATCCCCTCCCCAA